GCTGATAGTCATGAGGTGAGAGGTGGGAAGTGAGGACAAGAAAGCTAATGATTCTAAGGTGAGAAGAGGGAAGTCTCCAGAAAAGACTTAAAAGAGGTGATTAATTTGGCGATAAGTAAACAGTGCCAGGGGCCACCCTGAAAAGTCAGAGAGGGATGAGGCCCAGGGAGGGTTAGACCAAACTCAGACAGGATTAAGTTTGCAGGAGGAGAAAGTTTGCTCGTGGGGACGGCCGCAAGATGGATTTTAGTAATAAGCCAAGTATAAAGCGTCCAAGAAAGCGTCTAGCTCCCCCAAGGAACAGGCATTTTGTAGAGTTTTTTGGTTAGATCTTATCTTCAAAAGCACTTCATTAAGAACAAATGATTTTTGAATCTTTGATTTATTTACAGGGTGGGCATGTTGGTAAGACATAAGAATAATTCTTTAAACCTGGACCTCATTCATTTTCCAAAACAAAACCTCTATTGAGTTCCTTTTATAAAAATGAAAGAGCTAGTCACTAAAAAGATGCCACTCTACAAATTGTGACCTGAAAAATAAACAACCTGACACTAAGTCAATGAAGAAATTCCCTTGACCCTCCAGGGAGAATATGGACTATTCCAGAAAGAACCTGGGACTGACTACCAGAAAGCCTCCATGGCAGTGCTGACTCTGACACTAGCTGTTTTCATTCCATTTCCTTTCATTCCTTTCACAAGTGATTTACTGTGTCCCTACTGGACTGGGCTCAGGTCCAAGCCTTGGATGGCCTGGGCAAAAAACAGAGCTCCAACTAAGCAGTCATGAGTAAGTGTTTGGAAAGCAAATGGCAACCACTGTGGGAGTCTGTGACCAGGACGCCCAAACTGGAGGGCTTCCTGGAGAAGGTGAGCATGGACCTGGGGTTCAGCCAGTCAAAAACGGCGAGGGTAACACCAGCAGAGAACAGCTGTGGGGCCCTGAGCTTCCAGAATTCACAAGTCAGCTGGACTCGGAAATAATTACAGAAACTTGGCCCTCACAGAGAGGCTCGATGCGAGCATTTAACATGAATTGACTGATGCCCCACAATGACCTTATAGAGGAGATGGTCCTTGTACCTATTGTACAGAGGTGTAGAAAGGCAATAAACCCAAGTAATCTTCCCAACACAGCTTGTAAGTAGCAGGGCCTGGATATGAACGCAGGCGGTCTGGTTTTAGAGTCAACACCCCTGACCACTGTCTAGCCAATCTGTCAAATGATTGGACTATTGCTTTGAAAATCTTTGTAAGCATAATTTTCAAAACCCAGTTAAACACAAAACTTTTGCTAAAACTAGATATGTGCTTCCAACAGCTCATGGGTGTGAGCAGAATTACTCCCTTCTCATCTTCCCAAAAAAATAAGCCCTAAAGTTAAAAGAACTTCTAAACTCCCATCAGCCCAGGTTGTGCCTGCTTCTTGTCAGGCCCAAGAGAACAAAGATGGGCCCTGCTCCTCCTTGAATTCCTCCTACATGCAATCGTGACAAATGACTAAGGTCATGCCCTGGGAATCACAATGTTGACATCCAAGCACAGGCTCCAGTCCTTTTGATCATGGGTCCCCTCCTCCTAGTCCTGTGCCCCCGGGCTGGTCTTTCCCTGCTCAGGCATACAGCATTATGTTACCCTGCCATGTCTGTGTAGTTCGATCGGATTTTATTTTCAATGAACAGATGAACTCCAATTAGCTCCTCAGCAAATCAGAGTTCTTGCTTGAGCCGTGCTAAGCCTTACGGTTCTGTATGCAATAGCAAATCATCAGATTTTGACTTCCTGCTGGGAGAGCATGTTGGAGGTGAAAAAAGGGAAAAACAAACTTTTTATACTTTATACTTTAAGTGTGGAGGATCTCAGGCAATCCTAGAATGGAGTAATGAAGAAGTTAGACCACACTCTACCTGCATCAACATTTACAACAGCCCCATTGTAGCAAAAGATGCCAGGCAGGTCCGGCTGCATGTGAAGTTGAGATTCTACTTTATACAGGTTTGGTTTCCTTTTTTTAAAAAATTTCTACTTGTACTATTAATAGGATTTTTAGTGATTTGCTTTTTTTTTAATGATATTTAAAGCAGTTCTGGGCACATCGTTAAATATTGAGGTTTACAGTCACAGGAAATGAGGGCTCTGCTAGCATCAGGCTGTGCTGACATGGTGGCCTGTGTTTAAAACATCCTCTGACACAAGGGCCAAGAACCCTTTAAGTCACTGTGTCCCAGCAGCCAGAAACACTGGCTCAGAAGCCTTTTGAGTGATCTAATCTATCTGCCCAGATGTCCTCCTAACAGAGACTCCAGGACTTCTCTGAAATATGATATGCTCTTACTCGTTTGGAAAAAAAAAAATCTAACTTTATAATAACTAACAAAGTTCATTCCTCCTCTGTGACATGGAGAAGAAAATTCTCCACCATTGGAGTAAAAAAGTATATAAAAAGGACTATTATAAAAAATATACCAGTGGTCACTAAATTATAAACACTAAAAATAAGTCAAATGGAATCTTTGAAAGTTAAGATATTCAGTAAAAGTCACCCATAAATACATTCCAAGCAAGCATTTTAATGGAATGGATGGACCAAAACATCTGATGACGTCTCAATGACCTGATTACCGATATCCAGGTGTGGTGACATGAATTAACATAACTTATAGAGAGACAAAAAACCAAAGAAATCCTCCTAAATCTATGTTTATCTGTATTTCCAATCTCCCCTAACTTTAAAAGATCTGAGTCCTCACTGCTACTGGATTAGGAATTTATGAACCTATTTCCAAGGAGAAAGAGGAAGGCGGAAGCTGGAGATGAAAGAGAGAAAGAGCGGACCTGTCTTGGCTATCAAAACATTATTAAAATCATTCCTTTGACATTCTGACAGTAATTGCACTGAGAAGGATTGGGTTTTGTTAAAATTACTTAAAAAGGGTTGTTGAGAATTTTCCTGTGGGAGAGACCAGGATGTGACACGTGGGTTTCACTTGATTATCCTTTGTTGTCCTCGCCATCTTGGGAAACTCAGTGTTTGTCCTGGTTGTGACAGGACAAAACTCTTACAAAAGCATCCGTGTCCCACAGAAAGCATCATCACTTGCAGTCCCCGCATCTGTTTTCTGCTGTGACCCGAGTAGTCAGTGATTCAAGTTGATTCATTCCTCTGGTTGCAGTTTCTGTCACCTTAATAAACCATGACCAGGCCAGACCCCCCTCCCCGGAACCATCATTTTCCTGATGATGGCAGAGCTACAACTCAGCTCTACCCACTGTGTTGTTGAAAAAAGCCAAAAATAGTGTCATGTACTTCAAATTTCTGAACATTCCCTTCCTTGCTGATCTAAGCTCCGAGTTCTAACAGAGTGACTGCAGGACAATATGTGTGACTAAAGATAGCAATGTGAAGAGGCTTCTCACCTCAGCCAGGAGGAAGTGACGGGCCTCAGTGGTACCTACCCAGGGCTGGCTGCTGGAAAGCCTTGAACAGCCAGCCATCCCACAGTGTCCCTGGGACTAGGCAAGTCAGGGCACTGCACCCCACAGTGCCAGTCTCACTAGGGAGGACACAGCCCTGTCCACTGGAGAATGTCAGAATTCTGTTAAATAAACTCCTGGAGCTGATCAGAAAATGAACAGCCATCAGACAGATAAAAGGCACCATCAGATATTGAATTTTTTAAAAATATGTTTCCTCTAATAGCTAAACTGACAGGTGTCATAAGACAAGAATTCTACTCCTAACGGTGGAAGTCTCCAAAAGAAGGAGAAATGAAAACATGTTCACACAAAACCTTGCTTATGAACGCTCATCACAATACTATTTATGATAGGGAAAAGTGGAAGCAAGCCAAGTGTCCATCAATTGAGGAAGAGATGAACAAATGGTGGTATGTCCATACAATGAAACATTACTCAGCCATGAAAAGGAAGGAGGTATTGATACATGCTATAATATGGATGCTAGCAAAAAGCACCAATGACATTTCCACTAATAGGAAATGTCCAGAACAGACAAAGCTAGAGAGACAGGAAGTGGATTAGTAGTCGACAGGAAGTGGAAGGGAAAACAGGAGTGACTGTTAATGGGAACAGGGTTTCTTGTGTGGGCAATCAACATTCTAAGATTGGATTGTGGTGGTGGGTGTACAACTCTGAATATACTAAGAACTGTTGAATTATATGTTTTGGTATGATGGATTATAGTATGTGAATTACATCTCAATTTTAACATGTTTAAACATATATGTGCACACATATATATATACACACACACATTACACACCTTGATTTTGCTTTTTAAAATGAGAATTAAAGATGACTTTTAATTTTTCTCAACAACTGAGTAATTATTGGTGAAGTCGATACTTTCTTAGAGGAAAGGAGAACATTTTCTTAAATTTATTTTATTTTTATACTAAATACCATATATTATTACCATATTTTATTTTTATACTAAATATCATATATAATATGGTATATTTTAGTATATATATAAAATATACTAAATATTGCTAAAGAACAATATTTCCACTCACTGTCTTTGTGGAGCTCCCTCCCAGGAGGGAACAAGCTGGTATAAACACGTTTGGTTTCATAATTATTTGTAAGGTTTGTCTGGCTTACAGGCAACACCGCTCAATGTCAAGGGCAAGTTCAGAATTCAAATGGTGACTCACTTCCATGGAACAAAACACGGAGCTGCTGCCACATAAAAGAAAACATAAAGAAAATGCCACGGCCACACAAGCTGAAGACAAACCCCAGGTCCCAGTCCCATGAGTTTTCTTTGGGGCACCCGAGCAGCGAGAAGAGCAGCTAACACTTCCCTGGTGTGTGGGATAGTCCTGACCCTGCTCTTACCTCTCCATCCTGACCGGACAGAGAAGCACCACTGTTGCCAGTATTTTACAGATGAACAGACTGACGTTCCGAGAGGTCAGTTACAGGGCGGAACTGTCACTCGGCCTGCGGGGAGCACGCACTCAGCAGCGCCCTTACCTGTGGACCACCCCGGCCCGGTGCAGGTGCTCCACGGCGGAGATGAGCTGCCGGATGTACCTGCGGGCCTCAGCCTCGTCCAGCCGCTTCTTCTCATAGATCTTGTGCATGAGGTTACCCCCGGGGCACAGCTCCATGACCAGGTAGTAGCTGTTCTCCGTCTCCAAAATATCCAGGAGCTGGGTGACGTTCGGGTGGCGGATCATCTGCTGAATCTGTCCCTCCCGCCTCAGGTTTTTGGTGACATACGTGTCCTTTTTGGCTCGCTTTTTGTCGATGACTTTGATGGCCACCTAAGGAGAAACCAAGAACATGGCTGTTAACAGACACTGAAGGCCACGGTTATTTTTCAACTGCTCTCAAAAACTCTCTTAAGACACAGATGGACAGATACAAAATGCAGCTGGACACTGGTGGCTCACGCCTGTAGCCCTAGCCACTCAGGAGGCAGAGATCAGCCTGGGAAAAATAGCTCATGAGACCCTATCTCAAAAAAAAACCCATCACAAAAAAAGGGGCTGGCAGAGCGGCTCAAGGTGTAGGACCTGAGTTCAAACCCCAGTACCGCAAAAAAGAAATAAAAATAAACGAAATGCAAACAGAAATGCAGTTTCTCTAGGCCGGGAGAAACACAGGATCGAAAACAGCATCAGGGCCGGGGGTGCAGCCCAGCACCAGAACGTTGGCCTAGCAGTGCCTGGGTTCTACCCCCAGCACTGCAAATAAACCAAGAAATAATTAAGTAAATTAAAACAGCATCAAAGGAAAAACTAGGACATCAGGGGCAAGGGAAAAGTCCTTCAGGAAGGAAGAGAAGGGAACTGACATAACCAGTCTTCAGCAGAAGGTCAATGTCAAACTTGGTTCCCTCCAGAGAAGAGACTGAGAGTGAAGTCCTGGTTTCTCCTGGAGCCCAGAGTTCTCCCACTCACTCTTAGGACTTGTCTCCAGCCCCCCACATTGCAATCAGAAGCATCTATCCCCCAGTCTTCAGTTCTAGGATGTGGTCAGGAAGGCACTACCCAAGGATACAGCTCCCCTGGTCTCCCCACCCCCAGCCCTCTCTCTATCCCGCACAGGCCCTCAGACAAGCTGTCTCTCGCGCCAAAGTGACTTCTTTCCCTTGGTGAATCACCTTTAGGTGAACTCTCACCTGCTGTGTCAAGGACCCAGCCTCATGTCTCACCCACCTAACAGGAAGCTCCTCGTGACCCATTCCCCTGCAATGAACTTGTACTAAAAGGCAGGGTGGGAGGGAGGGAAGGAGGAACAATGGAGGGGAAGGGAAGATGGTCTTTTCCACTTAACTCTGCACCACCCAGAACGATCTCTTTTTCTTTGGGGGAGTCACCTCTCCACTTTCCTGGCCCTCCACACCCCACCATTTACACCTATGGCTTGTTCTTATGGCTTCACTCTCCTCTGTGATGCGACTGGCCATTGAGTCAATGTCAATTCCGTCTGCCAATGCCGCCCACACCTTTCCTTCAGCCTCCTGCCTCCCAGCACCCAGAGTCACTTCTCTAAGGGATGCTCTCCTACTTGGCTGTGGAGACACCAAGGGCGGCAGGAAGACAGTGGACCTTCCATTTCCATTTCTTCCTTTTTTGGCAAGTATACTTTGTACTTGTTGCACAGGGCACTCAATATATTAGTAGACGGTAACTAAACAAACATATATTGGCAGCAAGAGGCTTAAATGTTATTTTATGGACATAGTTCATGATAAAATAAATGAGCAAAAGTCTCAGGTGTAATGGAGCCTACAGGTAATAATAATGTATTGTGTACTTGAAAACTTCTAAGAGTTGATCTTAGATGTTCTCACCACACACTACCCAGTAAATACGTGCATATTTTGACTGTCAATCAAGCCTCATTTAAGATGAAAAAAACTCTTTTCTTTATTGAGGGCTTTTTTTTTAATTTTTTTTTGCAGTACTAGGTTTTAAACTCAGGGCCTCATGTTTACTAGTCAGGCCCTCTACAGCTGGAGCCACTCTGCCAGTGCCCCCTACCCTGCCAAAAAAAAAACTTGGAAAAAGGAAATTTAAAAACAGTGCAAACCAAAGGCAAACTTGAAGTTACATTAACAAAAGTCTGGCCTACGTCATCAATGCTCTAACTTCCCCAAAACCCTCACCCGTGCTCCTTAAATTCATCCACATTCGGCCTTAAAGATAATGGTTCTAGAGCCTTGATTTCTTGGTCTGGTCTGTTCTGTTTTGTTTTGCAGTACTGGAGATAGAACCCAGGGCCTAGTACTTGCTAAGCGAGTGCTTTAACCACCTGAGCTACACCCTCAGCCCTTTTGTGTATATTTCATTTTGGAAATAGGGTCCCCTATTTTTGCCCAGACTGGCCTCAAACTCCAATCTTCCTGCCTCCATGTCCTGAGCAGCTGAGATTACAGGCATGCACCACCATGCCTGGCTTCAGAACCCTGGTTTCTTGCTGAAGCTCTTCAGGGCTTACTGTTGCCACCAAGAACACCCACTCCAGCATCATCTGTCAGCCCCACCATGGGCACACCCCGTCCCCAGGCTGTCTCCAGTGGGCAGTCTCCTCACTCCTCAGGGATGTCTTCTGTCACTCTCCAAATACTCCTGCCACTCTTCTCACCCAGTCCTGAGAGGCCAACTCGAGCCATCTCCTGACTAGAGAGAACTCTCCAACCCCCATCCCCACATTCCTGCACATACAGCATTTGTAAGACATAGGAACTCATCACTTTAACACAGAACCCACCTTCCTACACCCCACACAGTACTTTATAAATAGTAAGTGACTAATCAATGCATTCATCAAGTAGCTACACACAGATGAATCTACTGTCACTTCACAGAATGAGTTTTCTCTCATTAAGAAATCCAGAGATATGGAGAACAGCCTAGGACAGTCAGCCAAGTGAGCCGGGCAAGGTCAGGGGAGTCTCTGCCCAGCTAGCACCTCACATCAGGGAACCTGCAAAGTTCCCAGCCCACTGTGGTTTGTCCCCATCTCATTCCACCATGGATGCTAAACTAACGGCTTAATAAACTATGCTTATTCTTAAACCCCTCCCACCACCCTTGAGGGGCTGGGGAAAAAGATGTTGAAAAGTACAGTCTCTGCTTGACTCTGTGTTGCAATGCTTTAAAAAGTACACCCTTTGGCAGTGAAATCTTAATCTAAGTGCTGTGAATAAACAAGAGTGAGCAATAATACCGTCTGCCTTTTATTTTTTTCTAAACAGATCACACAGTTATTGTAAGCATAATTTATTTCACTCTTAATTGCCTGTACTGGGTTGAAGAATGGCCACCCAAGGATACTAAGTGCAAATCCCTGGATCTTATCAATGTGACTTTATTTGGGAAAAGAGACTTTGCAGATATGGTGGAGGGAAGGACTTTGCCCTACATATCCTCACAAGTGTCCTCACCAAATACACAGAGGAGAAGGCCATGTGAAGGAGGAGGTAGAGATTACAGTGACAGGGCACAAGCCAAGGGACACTATTAGTCACCAGAAGCTACAAGGACAGATTCATCCCCAGCAGCCCGCAGAGGAGGCATATAAGTCTGGCTGGTAATTTGATCTTAAATGTCTGGCATCCAGAACTGAGAATTAATTTTCTACTTTAAGCTACCAAATGTGTGGAAGTTTGTTACAGCAGCCACAAGAAACTAATACCTTCTCAGGGGAAAAAAAAGACAGGTGTCTTTACTGCTGTAGCCCCTCTGGGGTACCTTTGCAGGCACTGTGAGATCCTGGCTGGAAACATCGTCTTTTACCTGTAGCCTCTTTCTGCTCCCCCCCTTCCCCTTCATCACAACCTCAGGGGCTTCTGACATTCCTAATTAATCCCTGCTGCTCCCCTTGTGCCCATGTGAACCCCAGGGGTCGGGGTCACCATGAGCTCGCCACTAGAGCCTCACGGCAGGGCTGAAGCAGACCAGACTGGGTTTTTATACCTCCAAGGTCCCTGCAGGTACAAGGTGGGATCTCACACAGCTCCCATGAATGGTCAGCACCTATGTAGGACAAGGACTTCTCTGAGCAAAAAGGGAAGGAGGTAGGTGACACTCCATGTAGGTGGATGAACATAACTAACAACCATGAGGCTGTCATAACCATAACAACCGGTGCTTAGTTACAACATGCCAAGGGGGCTTACCTGGTCTTTCTTTGAGTGGTTTTTCTGGTACTTTCCTATTGCTGGAATGCTTTTGGATGTATCATGGGACTATGTCTCAATAACTCACGGTAAACTGAAAATATTGTAAATCGAAAATACACTGAGTGCCCCTAACCTACCAACCATCCGTATTTGTGATCGCCTGGTGGGCTGGGGAGCCCACTACTACTGCCCCGCATCAAGTGAGGATTGTACCACATCTCACTAGCCCAAGAAAAGAACAAAATTCAAAATAAAGTATGGTGGTTCATGCCTTTAATCCCAGCTACTTGGAAAGCAGAGGCAGGAGGATCCAAGTTTCATGCCAGCCCAGACAAAAGGTGTAAGTGAGACCCTATCTGAAAACCAAAACACAAAAGCAAAAAAGGGCTGGGGGCACAGAAGAGTGCTATGGCCTTGGGTTCAATCCCCAGTACCACACAAATAAAAGATGGTTTCTACTTTCTACCATAAATGTGAACCATCGTAAGTCAGGGACTGTCTGTATTTCCAGTCTCCCAGGTGCTGCCTGTCTTCCTCCCTTTCCCAAAGGTGAATGGACAAGACCTTGGTGTGATCTAAGAGCCATCCCTCCCCATCACCAGCCAGTCCAGCCCTGGCCTTTGGCCAGCTTACAGAGGCTTCTGTGAAGCTGGCCCAGTGTGGGAAGCTAGAAAATGGCTCCCAAAGACACATCCTTATCCGAAGTCCTGGAACCTGCAACATTAACTAAGTTAGGAAAGGTCTTGGCAGACATGATGGAGTTCAAGGCCCTGAAATGGGGAGACTGTCTGGCATTAATGGGGTGAGCCCCAAAGACCATCACAGGTAACCTTAGAAGAGGAAGAAGATCAAAGAGAAACAAAGACCAGGTGTGGTAATCCCTACTGTAATCCCAGCTACTTAGAGTAGGAGACCAGGAAGATTGAAGTTTGAGGCCAGTTGAGGAAAACACAGTTAGGGTGACCCTATCTCAACAAACAAGCCAGGTGTGGTAATCCTAGCTATGCAGAAAGCACAGGGAGGAGGATCAAGATCTGAGGCCAGTCCTTGGCAAAAAACAGGATATCCTGGGGAAAAAAAAAAAAAAAAACAGCTTAAAGCAGGAGGTGTGGCTCAAGAGTGAAGAGTGAA